CCCTGCCCTAACCCCAGCTCCTTCCCCCCCCTCCCCCTCCAGAAACAAAAGTATAGTGTTTACTTTTGTTTCCCATTGCAGCACCTCGGACCTCAGCAAACAGCTTGGAGGGCTGTATGGCACCTGCGGGCCGTATGTTAGACAAGCCTGCATTAGCAGGTGTATGACAAACAGGTCCAAGGAGGTGATACTTCCCTTTTTTGTGGCACTGGTCAGGCCACAGCTGGCGTACTGCATCCAGTTTTGGGTGCTTCACTTCATGAGGGATGTGGACAATCTCAAGAGGGGTCAGAGGAGGGCCACTTGTATGGTTAGAGGCCTGCAGACAAAGCAGGAGAAGAGACTGAGGGCCCTAGATCTCTTCAGCCTCCGCAATAGAGGGCTGAGAGGTGACCTTGTGGCTGCCTACAAATTCATCGGGGGGACAGCAAAGAATAGGAGATGCTCTGTTTACCAGGGCACCCCTTGGAGTAACTAGCAACAACAGCCACAAACTGAAGGAGAGCAGATTTAAGTTAGACATCAGGAAGAACTTATTTATGGTAAGGGTTGCCAAAATCTGGAATGGGCTTCCAAGGGAGGTGGTGCTCTCCCCTGCCTTGAGGGTCTTTAAGAGGAGGCTACATGCACCTGGTTGGGATCATCTGACTCCAGAGCTCTTTCCTGCCCAGGGCAGGGGGTCAGACTCGATGATCTACTAAGATCCCTTCTGACCTGAACATCTATGAATCTATGACATTCATCATTGTGCAAATTGCACAGTGCAAATTACCAGTACACCTCACTCCTGACTCTCAGCCTCCTGGTCCTGCTAGTACCCCTCACTCCCAACTTGCTGGCCCACATCCTCAGACCCCAGCCCCCCGGTGTGTGTGGCAGGGGGTGAGTGTGTGGGGGATGAGGGGGCACATGCACCCCAGATTTGTGCGCCCACAGTGAGCACAGGGCTGGCTGGATCAGCACAGGTAGAAGCTGGCCCAGTGGGTGGGGCCATGTGGGAGGATGGAGTGAGGCGGTGAGACCCTCTGCACCAGCTGCACAGCCAGCACAAGGCGTAACAGAATGGGGGGGGGCATGCTGCCCTCACCTCCTCCCACTGTCAGCCATTTGTGCATTAGGCCACCACTCCTCTCAGGCTTCCTGCTCTGCCCCCAACCCCACCTCCCTTTCAAGGTAGAGCCACAGCCTGATGGGAGCAGAGGCCAGGCCAGGCCATGGCGGTGGCCTGAGTGGAGTGGCTGGCAGCAGGAGGAGGTGAGGGCAGTGCCTCCCCAACACATTACCTGTGCCACACCCCGGCCCCATACACCTACCTGAGGGGAGCTGGGGAGTTGCTCTTTTTGCTGTCTGGCTGCCACATAAATGTGTGCATGCACATATGCACATGGCACTCCCTGCCTGATTGCCCTCCTTCTGCTTCCCCCAGCCCCAAGCATCCCTTGCAAGCTGGAACTCTGCCAGCCTGCAAGGGGAGACCCATGTTTGCCCATATTTTTCTCTGTTAAAGGCAAAAATCTGTGATTGTCCACATTTTTCTGTGATTGTTTCAGACCCTTTCATGTATTTTTGCAACCCACTTTTGGGTTGCAACCCACGCGTTAAGAAATGTAGTTGATGGCATAGATAGACACTATCTGTAAAGAGAAGGAAAGGAACTCTTGCAAAAAACCTCATACACTGGTGAGAAAGCTGAAATGATATAGCTTGGATATGAGAAGGACGAAAAGTGCTACTGAGGTACCTTAAAGAACAAGAACCATATGCTAGTCACACAGACTGCATAAACTATGTTAGAATAGGGAAATGCAATATGGTCTTAAGCTTCTAGATCAGAGGTGTTCAACGTCTGGCCCATGGGCCAAATGCAGCCTGCAGAACCATTGCATCTGGCCCTCAGGGCTCCCAAAGTGTGGGGTTTTTTTGTTTTTGTTTTTGGGGGGGGCGGGGGGGGAGAAACAGTGGCCATCCTTACCCACTACCAAAGTCCTACAACCTTTCCCCCCAAAACAGCCAGATCAGGACTAGGCCACAATCCCTTCCCTCTGCACAGCCAGATCAGGGCCAGGCCATGTCCCCTTTCTATATGCCACTGGGTTGGAGCTGGGTCACGTGCCCCTTCTCCTGGGCTGAATCAGAGCTGAGCCACTCCCTGTCCTCCTGCAGGACTCGATCAGGGCTGGGACACAACCCTCTCCCCACACTGTTATCGATTTACTGTTTGACTCAAATAAGCTGTAATTTGCTGAACTGCTAGCTCTATTTTTTCCAGTGTTTCTGTGGTTTTTGATGGGCTCATATTTAATACCAATTCAGTTCTGATCCTGTTGAGTTTGCACAAGGTGCTTCAGGTCATATTGTCATGGTAATATTCTGTAAGAGATGGGCTTGGCATCTCTGTTATGTTATCTTTCCTTGAGTTAATCACAATGTCCAAAGCTGCTTTGTTTTTTGCACACCTCACTGCCAGCACTCAGGAAACGTAGGGGTGATCTTCCAAACTGCATTGAAGTGGCACATTGTAGAAAAACTGGTTTGCAATCACCTAACTATAGATAGACACATAAGGAGGCAGAATTAAGAATGCATAGATGATTTTGGTTTTGGTAGCTCCTACTTTTAAGCAATTACATTTGTAACTATAAGAATATTATTTTAATGTATTCTACTGCTATGTAATATGTATAAATTAAATGTAGTTAATATGAAAAACTATATGGTGATATGATACAGTGATTTTATTGGTAAAGGTTTAGAATTATAAACAAAAAGGGCTGGAAGGAACCTCAGAAGATCAGTTAGTCCAATGTGCGTAACGTTCTGGCCCCACCGGTCAGGGCCGGATACCACAGGTACATGTTTAGTGTGTGGGTGTGACGTGGTGTGCCAGCCCAGCCTCATGGGTCAGATCTAGTTGCAGACTAACCTCACATGCCAGATACTGCTGCAGACCAACCCTATGTTTCAGAGTCATCTACAAACCAACCCCATGTACTGGCTCAGCCCTGTGCACTGGATCTGTCTGTGGCCCAACCCCACGTACTGGCCCAACCGCTCACACTGGAGCCAGTCGTGGAGTGACCCCTGTGTGCTGGATTTGGCCATGGTGATCCCATACACTGACCCAGATCCAGCCATAGAGCACCATTCAGTGCATGGGACAGAGTCACCCAGCCTGTGGGTCTCCATACAGGTTCAGAAATTTGACAGTAGGGGAGCAATGGCAGTGTTAATTGCCATAGCTCTAGAAGCCAGGGCAATTAATGCTGCCACGGCTACCCCGCTGACAAATTTACGGACCTGTGAGGAGCCCCACAGGCAAGATGACATAGCCGGATATGGCTTGCAGGCCAAAGGTTGACCACTGGTGATCTAGCTTAATCCTTTGCTTGAGACATCCCTGTTTAAAACATGCCATGCTAGGACAAGACACATTTTCTCTAGGTGATGTCTCAATACTTAACCACTCTCATATTTAGAAAGTTCTTTTTACTGTCCATCTTAGATTTCCCTTGTTGCAGTTCAAACCTATTATTCCTGTCCTGTTTCCTGTGAACACAGAGAGCAGTTGCATATTGCCCTCTTTATTGTAAACCTTTTGTATTTGAAGACTCTTATCAAAACCCCTCAGTTTTCTTTTCTCCACACTAACAGTCCCTTGCTCGTTCAAGCTCTTCTTGCCCATCATGTTTCCTAGATTTCTAATCATTTTTGTTCTTCTCCTTTGAACTCTTTCTAATTTGCCCATGTTTTCACTGAAGTATGGTGCTCAAAACTGGATGCAGTACTCTAGGTGAGGTCTTCCCAGTGTTTGAAAAAAATGGAAGAATCACTACCAATGACTTGCATATTTCACGTACACCAGTAGGCCAGCCTTTTGGACAGATGTGCCACAAATTAAGCCCACACTCTTTCTGAGTGACACTTTGAACCTCTTCCTCCACTCTACTTTCCATCCTGTGCCTTGTGCACTCTGCTTGAGCTTCTGTTTTGCTTTCAGATCCCTGCTCCGTATTTCCTGCCCAGTCTGCTGCTCTGCTTCCCGCGCCCTCCCCCTTTGCTTGGCACCGGCCCCGGGACACAGGCACGGGACCCGCACTCCCACCTGGCTGGCGCTGGCTCCCTCCCAGTGCCCCCGTCCCCGCCCCGCAGTGCAGGCGGGGAGCAGCGCACCCCCTCCGGGGAACACGCCCC